ATATTGATTCAGAGTTTCCTTTGAAGGAGCAGATTTGCTTCTCCATTAACATGACTTGAAACTGCACACAAAAGTAACCACTCCCTTGTATTACATTGGTAACAGTCACTTAATTTAGTCAAAATTATTACTATCGTTATTGCCCTTTGGATTCCGAGTGGAACACGGGGCTTCAGTAGCATATCTTCATGTCGTCCTATTACCTGCGGTCCTCTTCAGACGGCCCCACGACTGCCCATAACTTCTCATCTACTCTTCACATGATCTCATCCTCGTCATACAAGGACCATAGCCCAACTCATCGTTCCCTATTCGGATTGATTTCATTCTAGAGATTAGCTGGTGTGAGATGTAACTCAATTGTCTCCTAAATGAATACCCATTTACTTCGACATATCTGTTCAGCAAAAGGTCTTTGACTAGCTCGTCCGCTACCATAGTTTCCCGTTGCTAATTCTTTCTCGCCAGCCATTTTATCTTCAGTATGTAGATAGTGAAAGTAGCTTTTGGTAAAAGTATGCCGGAAACACCTGTTTGAAATGCTTTTCGTGACGTGCAGTGCAAGTGTCTCACCTGTATGGAAGAGCCGAATGACTGACCAACTTAATATTAGTGTTGAAGAAACATAGTGTGTTCCTGATACTGAGTGAGTGCAGAAGATTTCCAAACTGAATTCAGAGTGATCAATGAGACTGTCTTGCGTATCCAATTCCGCCTGGTTGGCTGACTTTGACATATCCATCCGTACGTCCGTCTGCAGTTGAAAAAATACTGGCTGCCTTGCTACCTGAAGGAAGTGACCACTATCAGCCCTTATGGTGACCAGTGCTGGTTGTTGTTGGTGTTGATGCTGGTTGTTTGGTTATCTTCATCACCTCTATCTTCTGTATGCCCACCTGTCCTATGTCCTGTTTTCCTTCGCTGCCTGCTTCTTCTGTCGGTTTGTTGGTTTTTGCCTGAAAGTCCTTGAGTCCTCGTGACATCAGATATAAATCGTCTGCGAAATCCAGATCTTCTACAGTTTTCATATCTAGCCAACGTCTTCTCGTCTTCTCACTCCCCTACCGATAGATGGTGTGCTGCAGAATCCAATCCAGCACAGCTGGGAATATCATCGGTGATAGTAGTCAGTTATTTCCATCTCCCGTGTCACTTCAGATGCCTCACTGAGATTTCCGTTGTGGATCACTTGACAGGAAGCCTTGTTATATAGCCAGCTGTTGAATGAGGTTGTTAAAGATTTGGCCACTGCACGCCATAGTGTTGAGACAGTGTCCAAATTACTTCGAGGTCAAAGTCATCGAAGACCATTTCACAGTCGATGGAGTTGAGATAGAGAGATATGACTGCCATTCTATGCTATTTTCGATGAGAGTCATGCGTAGAGCTGCTATTTGATCAGCACATGTTGTGCGTTTCCTGAATCCAGTTTGACCAGGTTGGCGGAGTTTTGCATCCAGTGTATGTTTTGCTTCTTTCCAGGATGACGCGACCCAGTATTTTATGTGGTGTGGACAAGAGCATGATTCCGCATCAGTCCCTGTAGAGGTTTAAGTTGCCCCCCAATCAGTAGGTACCTCTGCTTCCTTCCAAACGTTTTCCAACACTAGCATGAGCATATCCACTATGGTGTCTAGATCCGTTTTCAATGTTTCAAGAAGAATTCTGTCTGGTTCTGCTATCCTCCCGGACTTCACTGGCTTGACTGCATTCAAGACTTCCGCTTATGTTGGAGGATTGGTGTCCATTAGCAGGCAGTTCTGTGAATGCTGTTGTCGGTATTTCTAGGCGAGTTGCAGGTGACATTCGATTAAAGAGTCCTCTGAAATGATCAGCCCACTGTTTTACTTATCTCTCTGTTTTGGCATTTAGGTTCACTTGACCGTCTGTACATGTTTCCTTGAACATCACTCTTTGTCCAATAATTTTCCACTCAGGTTTCCTCAGTTATGCCAAGTAGTGTCTCCGACTTTGCTCTGATGACTGCAGTGTAAGTATCTTTCGTAGTTTTTTCCTTCATTTTCTTAGTGTTTAACTTGAATTGTGGTGTGCCTCGAGTTGTTCTGAAATCTTTAAACTTGGCCTTCAGGGATCGTTTCACGAGATAGTGAATGGTCTGTTCCCATATCGTCCCTTCTTAATTTTATGTCTAGTAGCAGACTGCGTTTCCACTTTCTTGAGAGACATTGAGATGAAGTCTATCCGGTTTTTAGTGTCTCCATTGAGTGAAATCCATGTCTCCCGTGTATATTCTCCTGCTTGAATACCCTACCTCCAATCACCAAATCATTGAAGATGCAGAAGTCTGCGAAGAGTTCTCCATTATTTTTCATTTCACCGAGAGCTTTATCAACTTGTGATGAGTTCTCTTCCTGTATTATCTGCTCCCAGTTTGGCTTGTATACAAATCGCCCATGAGGATTTTGATGTCATTATTTGGGATTATGTCCATTACTGTTTGTAGTTGTCAACAGAACTCTTCCTTCTTCTCTTGTTCTCAGTTGTTTGTAGGAGCGTAGCACTAGATAACTGTAACCTTCCTTTTGAGTTGAATCTTGCTGTCATAATCCTGTGGAAGGAGATTCCTTCCTACTGTTTAAAAGCTTTGGATGACATTGGTGACATCATGATAGCCACTCCGTGAGTGTGCTCGTGGTTATCGTTTGGGTGACCGGAGTAGATTACTGACTGTGCAGTTAACATTTTCGATAGTTCACATCCGTTCAATCTCCTCTCGCAGATTTCCGGTACTCATGTGCAGTATTGCTTATTTCTTTGGCTACTCAGGTAGGCTTTCCAACTTCGTACACCGTACGACATCCCAATGTTTAATTTTGCTTTCATTGGAATGAAAAACTTCGGCATGGTTCCCGAAGGCTTTCACCAGCCTGTGTGATTTTGTTTCTTCTATTCGATCAAGGAATGAGTTTATTTTTTAAATACTTTTCCTGTCCTTTGAATTTTCTGTAGCGAGTGGATTGTTTTTTCCGTGGTGTCAATAACTCCACATGGAACTTCGCACCTTTTCCAGAGCTTGAGACTGGTTAGAAAACTAGCAAGGTTGTATACTGGTTGAGGTTGATTTGATCAAGATAATTATTATTTTTCGTGCTTCCCTGCTTAGATCATCATCCTTTTTTATCCATTTGAGTTCCCAGTGTAACAAAGGGCTTCATGGTAAAGCTTTGAAGTTTAAGTAGCGATGATATTTTTACCGGGATGGAGTTGCTAGCCTCATGCCAAACCTTCCCTCTTTACCAGGTTAATAATACTACATAAAGTTGTGTGCATAGGTATCGAACCCTGGGACACCGCCCCAAGTCATCTTCATTAGTTCCGGTTTTTCTTTACTAGATTGAATCACTTCATAAGGAGTTTCTTGTGTTCATTTTCAAAAAAATAAATAATAATAATCTCACAAGTGTTTACGGGTACAGTTAACAATCAACCATTATTATTATGTGGAATATTTTTGTAGATATTATGCTGAAAAATGAAAAAAACTAACTAGTAATATTTAAAATTATTCAGCGTCCATCTGACGAAGGTCACTTTGTGAGCTTGATAAGGTTTCCAGAGGTATATCTCGGAAACTGTTAGTTTAAACTACATGAAAACACTTCATATTTCATAACCTAAAACACAGACTGGTGCCTCTGATATTAACCAAGCTGTATTTTTTCATAAACAGCTCCATTTAGCAAATACTAGTTGAACTATATGGAAATGTAGAGAAATAAATAAACGGCTATGGTAAAAGATCTACAATGAGATGTTAAATAAAGCCATAATTATAATAAAAGTGTTATTATAAGCAGAAAGATGTTTGTTTTCATCAGATCTAAATTTTGATTACAAATACGCATTCTTTTTTTAGTGAATATTTATCTAAATTTATATCTATTTATGTACCAATATATATATATATATATTTGAATAAAGCAAGAACGAAGACATTCATAGGCTAAAAGGAGGTCATTTCGTTTAATAGTTTCTCTTTATCGGCTAAAATCTACAAGATCACGTGCGACATAAAATAAAAAGACAGGTAATCAATTTTAGCACACTAATGGATAGCTACTGGATAACTAAGATCGACACTACCAAAAAACCAAGGACTGCTTAGGTTTAACAAAATGAAAAGTGACAAGGGATGAAGGTCGAACAAATGGATGCAGATAAATAAAGCAATAAAACCGAAGTTATTACTTAGACTTAGAACAGCGAGACCTATTATGAGTTCAGCTAAGTGAATGAAAATCAGAAGTCAAATAAAAGAACATCCACTGAAGAAAATGGTGTGAGGTTATTAATACTATCCTGCAGAAATACATCTTATTTATTGATGAATTTATTTTATAAAGCTCCCCTTCAGTTACATGAGAAGTGGATTTAAGTAGCTCCTTCAGTAATTTAGAAAGCTTATCCAGTAATAAACAAAACAAAAGGAAGACGAATATAACACCTAATACGTGAATAGGTTTTATAACTGACACATTAGGACTGGCGTGTATTCAATGGCTGCGGGGCTTCAATAGTGAATAAGGAAACATTAGGGAGTGACATGAGTAAACGTACTAACTATATCAAAATCGAACACATATGGAAAGGAAATTAAGACAATGGAAGGAACAAGAAATAATATCATTTCTCCTACTGATTTAAATCGAATGTTCCTGTCTTCACCCTATTAGCATACATTATTTAGACCCCCAAATGTCTTGTTTTGCATGTTGGAAAATTCACCGAAATTTGTATTTTTCTTGAAGCATTTAGAAAGATGGCAAAATTTTAATAGTTCACTGAGGTAGGAAATTCACCAGTCTCTGTCGATGATAAGAATGATAAAGCCTTATAAATTGTCTTCAGAATTAGTAAGTATATAGAAGGAGTTCATTCATTAGTAAATAATTAAGCAAATTTTTAGGGATGTAATAATATCAAAAACTATTATCAAGGAACTCTAAGAATAATCCCGATTGGAAAAAGTTGCTACTCACCTAGCAGGTTTAATTTGGCCCATTTTTCGAACGCGTACAGTGCAAAATGTGACGCGTGGAAATTTACCTGATGTTTCCCATTCTTGTCCACTGACTAAGTCGTTTAAAACATCCATACCAAACATGGTACTGTTGGTCCCAATAAATTTCTTCATGAGGTAAATTTGTCCAACAGAATTACCAATAAAACAAATACGAACTACGAAAAACAGAAAAGTTATACGTGCATTTGGTCGAAGGCTACAAAATATTCGTTTAATTGTACTGGTAACACGTCTATGCCTAGCTGTTGATTCAGCTTGTTCTTCCAAAGTAGCTACTAAACATGAGATGGCTTTCTGTCTAAGTTCTCTGTCTGGTACTGATGCTTCTTTAGCTGACCTCAATAGAACAGGTAGGCGTTTAGATCCAACTCTCCATAGGATGTGTGGCACCCAGCTTAACATAGCTTGTCCAGCTAGTACAATCGCTATCCATTGATAATAACCAATGTATCTAACTTTAGTCAGTTCATAATCATCTTCGGGAACTTGATCACTTGGATGAAGAAAATACGTATTTTGTACCCAGCAGAGATTTTCTGCATATTCTTCCCAAGAATGCGTAAATTCTTGTGGCACCCAACACTGTATAGGTTTACCTGAGATGAAAAATTAAGTAAACAAAAGACAATCATTTAATGTGTTGCATATTGAATCACTATTCAAAATGTAATTAAAAGTATCATAGATAAATTAAAATTAAGGTGCACGACAGCGACAAAGTGAGTTTCCTTATTGACTTCATTTATTTTTTATCTATCAACTCAATCAAAAGATACAGACAAACACATTATGTAGGTGAAGGAGATAAATGGAGCTCCATCAGTAGCTACAACTTATTATTACTTAATATTTCAACTCTCATAATGGGGAGAAGCAGGAAACAAATATTATAAATGTCATACAATAATAATTATTTCCTTCAAGTCATTGAAAAATCTTTGATATAAAGATGCGAATATGTTGTTTTATAGACCTGTCCATATATTAGTAAATAGAACATTTAATCTTTAGTTAATTTCACTTTTCAGTGAATTAAATAGATTTTAATTTAAAAAACGTAGGTGCTTTAGATAAAGTAATACATAATGACATATATATATAATATTTATATAAATAAAGTAGTACATAGTTTGTAGAGACCAAATTTTACGCATCATATGTATGAAGTAATACGCTGAAAGTTTCCAAAAGTAAATATTAAAGGTGATCAGAATTATCATCTGCTTTATTTCGCAATTCATTTTTAGTGAAAGTGTCCTATAGAATCCTTTACAAAGTGCCTAACACTTAACACTGTGTTAAAAGAAATATTTGTTGGAGGATTTCATCACGAGCTTACATCAGTTAGAGGACCATTGGGATACCTGGGAGTACTGGAGAGTTGTTTGGTCAGCCTAATTTGGGACTCTTCAACAGTACTCACCCCCACGGGGGTCGAACCCGGACCTGATTACAAGGTGAGCTCCTAGAGCGTTAACCAACTGGGATCCGATCCAACGGCCAGCCCATGAATTCTTACTTCTGCCAATTCATGAAATAGCAGGACCAATTCGCAATGTCTTCTTCGGTGGGTGCGTACTGATGAAGAGTCAAAAACTAGGATGAAACAGCTCTCCAGTACTCCCAGGTTTTCCAATAATTCTCCAACTGATGTCAGCTCATGATGAAATCCCCCAACCAATCAAACAAAATCCCTACAAAAGCCAATACTATAAATATTTGTATTTGTATCTTTGTATTTAATACCTTCACTACATTTCACGATCCGGTAATGCTTTTTATGATTTAGATACTATGAAAACATTAAAGGTGATCCAAACGTTTTTACACTCAAATGCCAGAGTTAGCATGCTGACTTCAGCTCAGCAGCAGAAGTCCCTCAGTGTATTATTTTGTAGATAAAATAATTCCAACAACACAATTTGTTATCTACTGAACTTCATATTACTAAAGTAAATCACAATTTAAGTTTTAGACGGCAAGCATATTTGCTAATTCATGTGAAGTCAACTTAGATTTCCGAATAGTTTTTACATCTTATATATCAAATATTGAAAATCCTTTTGATGAATTGCAGTTGTTCAAATTAAGGTTGTCAGTCAGAGGAAGAAAAATTACTGAAGATGTAAATAGCGAATCGTTTAGTAGCGTTGTTGTAAGTTATGTGAAAATAATGTGTCAGAGAAAATAGGAGTCCCTATAATTTGGAGCAACTGCATCTATTTAGTATTTACTCACTTCATTGATAGATACACACATTATAAAGATTATGTCTGTAACTAATACAAAATTTGTTAGGTTTAACGTACTAGATGCCACAGCCTGTTGTACCCGAAGTCATAATAAGAACGAGTAATTTATAAAGGTGCTTTAGAAGTGTTTATTTTGTGACGCTGACTAACTCATTAAAAAAGTCTGCAACTCCATCTAATACATAACTAAACTAGTTTAATTTAATTACTGTTTCAAAACATTCTTTCCGTTCTGGTTCTCTAAAAATAATATTTCCATTACATTAAACTATTGATTTTTACCTCAGGCGAAAACTTTACGTCGTTTTAATGTCACCTTGCTTACAAACTGCATTCCAGTTTCTTTCTTCTTTCATCATAATTGTGAATCAATAAGTTGAAGTAATAAAACTCCCTAATGGAAGTCATTTTGAGAACAATAAAAACGCATCTCTTAAAAGAAAGTATTGATTCATATTCCAGGTAAGCTTGTCTTCGGTATCAGGTTCAAAGATTTAAATATGAAATAAATTTTTACTAAAATTAAATGATGCTTAAAATGATATAAGGTTCACTTGAGATGTGAACTGCATTCATGCTACGTAGGTTTGCATCGCCAAAGGGGATGTGATAATGAACACCACTGAATTAAGTGTATAGTTAATAATTGTATATCAATAACCATGCAAGTCTACAGAAGGAAAAATGAATGCAAAGTCATGTAACTACTGAAGTTTTTCTTTTGCACTGAGCTTTGAATTAGCAAATAAAAGTGTTCGTACACGTTATATGTAGTGTAGCTAAGGTGCTGTTAATGAATATATATATGTATGATATTCCTAATTCGTTGAAACAATATTTACTATCACTTGTTAAAATGATATTCCAAATCATTATCTTGAAATTTCTCTGTATACAGAGCTCAGAATTTCCAAGTCTACATTCATCCGTTTTACAAACTAGAAAGTGAAGCTTGAGAATTTTTACTGAGAGGAAACCGCCTTCTACTGATCCTACTAGAGTGATAATATATACATGCACGGCATGCTTTCAAGCTTGAATCAAACATTAACGAGACACAGAAAGGTGACCTCCACCTGTTTTTTTAAAAAGACATAGTGACCATTAAATTAACTCTAGTTGTCAGTGTGTCATTTTGCGATGTACAAAGATCATGTTCGGCTTAATGACCACACTTCTAAACTTGTCTGTAAATGCTGATCAACACACTTAGGTGTACACAGCAATGTTGTCCATTGTTTGAAAATTAGGTGGTGCGAGAAAGTGATAGCAGCAACAACAGTTTTATACATGGTTTTATTAATTAAATTCTAGGAATTTGAAAGGTTTAAAGTGTGCTACAGAAAGGTTTTATTTATTTTAGATTAAAACACAGACAGATTGGATAGTATTTTCAAATCGACCGTGGTAAGATAAGTAGATTAATATAAGAAAATGAAAGGGCATACAAAACTCCATGCAGAACTTGATTATTCTCATTTCCTGAAACAAATTATTTCAAAATTACAAATGTTGACAGTCTTGGAGCCTCTGGTCTTCGGTCGGTCACTTTTAACTAATTCTTTTCACTGCTTAAGGACGAATCAAGATAGGTGGGATTGTAGTTTTAAAGGGGTAATGATCCCTTAAACAGTTCTAGGTATTAATTTCTTATAAATTCCTCTACCGATTCAAGGTTACTGCACATGACACAAGTTATATTATGCTTTGTTTTCACCAATATCTGTACAGTACATACGCATGAACATGTTTGTGTATAGACGGCACTTTCTGGCTTTTATTCCTATTGTCATTTAACAATCTGTAGTGTTCCAGCAAATATAGTTCATGCATTACGTGAACTAATCCTTACAAACCAAACTATCGAAAATTAATCTGATGCTCGCTAGTGACTTGCTACAGGATGGAGTTTCCTGGAGTTCTGGTGAGAAGTAGTGACCAGTGAGGTCCAATTAGATGTCACGTGTGTGGATGGATGTCCCACCAACGATAATAGTTGGGGTCGCGCTAAAATCACGAATTGGTAGAAGTTAGAATTCATGAGCCATTGAATCGGGTCCCAGTGGCTGAATGGTATACGAGCTAGCCTTGTAACCAGAAGGTCCTGGGTTCGAATCCCAGTGGGAGCGTACTGACGATGATTCCCAAAACTCCCTGGTTTTCAATGGTTCTCTAACTGATATCAGTCCGTGATCAACTCGTAAAAAACCTTATTATTCCTAATCATGGTAGCATTACTTACTCATTATTACATTATTTTTCAATGATTGCAAGTTCTTACGTATTTTTTTAAGTATACAAATAGCGTGTTATTCATTTATTCACTATTTGATCGACTCATCTCATATAATTGCGTTATTTAAAATTAATATTAATCCATTGTTTGTAATTCATTCTCTCTTCCGTATGAATTAATGCCTTTAAATTAAATAATAAACAAGAGTGCCAACAGATGTCGAAGAATACAAAGCAACTCATTACATCAGCAAACTGTAAGCGCCATGAAGAATGTGAGGAAATATTGCTTAAAGCAAGCAACACTAATGTTGTGGTAATTAATGTTAGTGATGTCACCCTAAGTTGTACAAACATTTTATTTTATCGATTAGTCCATTTTATAATACGAGAATACAGACTATTTATTACTGATTGGTTTTATTTCCGATTTCCTATCAACGTTTTCTTCTTCACGTTCCCCCAGGACTTCAAGCTAGAGGCTTGAAGTTTCTGTAGCAGTGTTTATTTTTACAGGACGGGGTTGCTAGGCTCATGTCCAACCTTTCCTCTTTACCAGTCTTACCACTGGCTTAGCGAGGTAAAGGAGTGTGTCGGCCGGGGATCGAACCCCGGACCATGTGCATGGTCGGCGAGTTTCCTAACCGCTATGCCGCCGACACACCCTATCAAAATTAATAGCCAATATTCACACTGAATAACGAATAATGAGAAATGTGTACTTTTGTGATCTTGCTGAATAAACATACAAGTGCTTTATGCCAAAAACTGGGGAAACCTCATGAGAATCTCGGGTAAAACATAGAAAATTTTCCGGGTGAACTAAATGATTTAGTGAAATTGTGAATCAACTCACTATTTTTACTGCATTTATATGACCAAAACTGGGATTTATACATGAAAAGATTTGAGTCTAAAATTTGGGGTCGCATAGGGTAATCTACCGGTGGATCTGCAAAAATTGTTTAGAAGTCACATTCAAGATGAAAATTTCTATATCAAAATTCCTTTCCTACCTTTCTTAGTTCATTACCATTTCTTGTAAAGCAGATCTAATTTCAGACAAGTGTTTCAAGCTTTACAATGAGAATCCTTTTCTAAACAGAACC